ACATGGGCTCATGTCCCAGCACCCATGTCGCAGTTCACAACTGTCTGTAAGTCTAGTTCCAGAGGATTCAGAGCCACCTTCTGACCTCCCTACGTACCATGCATGCAAGTAGAGCACACATATACATGAATAAAAAAACCTTAACAGATTTTTGGTTTGTTTGTTTTTTTAAAGGTTAGGGCCATGGGTGGTAACTGATATCCCAATGCTAAGGATGCAGAATGGGAAATTCCCTAGTGCCCACTGGCTGGCCAGCCTAGCCCACTTGGAGAGTCCCTGGCCAGTGAGTGACACTGTGTAAGGACAGGCAGCATCTGAAGAATAACATATATGATTGACCTCTGACCTCCCACATACACAAGTGAATGTGCATCCAAACCTGTGCAATCCCACCCCAACAAAGCACTAAAAGGTCTGACAAACTATTTTAAACTTTGTGTCAGAATATCAACTACTAATTAGAACATTAGTTATAACCTAGAATATGGAAAGTAACATTTGTTTAACGGGAGCTAAATAAATATGTACTTCTCCAATTTTTTTTTTACATTTACTTATTCATTGTGTCTGTTTGTGAATCAGACACCAGGCAGGAATCAGTTTTCTTATCCGTCATGTGGGTCTCGAGGACGGAGTTGGAGTCATCAGGCAGGGTGGTGGCAGTGCTCGCCTCAGGCCGCCTCACCAGCTCCTGAGCAGCTCTGCGGTAGGACTCACTGCTCCTACAAAAATAGTTGTTTCTGGTCAAAATTTACTACCTCCATTACTTACCATCATTTTGAAGGAATGCAAATACACAGGAGAGAAACTAAAGGCAAATTAAAAAAAATAAAACAGGTAATATTTACCTCTGGGTAAATACATTTACATACTAAAAAAATTAAAGAGAATCTGTAAAAGTATCTTTTATTTCCTAGATATTAATTGTGGTCTCAGAGGCTTACTGCCTCTGTCTGCTGACCTAGGCCTAGTCCCAGAAGCATCTAGCCTCTGTACAATCTAACCTAGGCCCAGAATGTTTTCAGCCTCTGAGACTGAATGCTGAATCAGCTCACCCTTCCTAGTTCTTTCTGAATGCTGGCTGGTTGATTCAACTCTGCTGTTCCGGATCAAACTCCTTTCCAAGCTGATTTAATTCAAGTCAGATTTTTGTTTGGCCTCTGAATTGCTTAGCTTGGCCTCAAACTGACTCCAGTAATCTTTACTTGTGTCTAGCTTGTTCTCTCCAGCATGTCTCTGTAAAACTCTACTGGTGACATGCCTCCTCCCTCTCTGCTGCTCTCCTCTCCCTCTCAACTCTCCTGCACAGACTCTACAGTTCCCTGTACTGTACTCTCTTCTCCTGTACTGTCTCTTTCCTATTCTGTCACGTTTTCTGCCTCTCAATTAGACATTACTTTCAAACATGGGTGTTTCCATTTACAAACTACTTGTTGCTTCAAACATTTTAGTAATAGGAATAAAATCTGATTATGACTTTTTCCTCAAAAATGTTTGAAGCACAGGGATTAAAGGCGAGCACTAACAGCACGCCTGCATTCCAGCCAGAGGGATTAAAGGTGCACGGCTAAGGGCTGAGCCACACCCTAAGTAGAAAAAGGTTCAAATATCTTGCAACAAGAATCAATTGGAAACTTGATAAAGAAATCAAAATAAGGTAGCTGACTATGAGACATAAATCAGGACTTTTCAAATATACAAATATACCCATATACAAATATACTCATTTCAAATATACAAATAAAAGAAAATTACAAAATGTATTAGAAATAACCCCATTTTAACAAGCTAAAATGTAATAAAAGGCAAACTTCCCATAAAAATGCTTATCAAGAAACTTGCATGAAGCCTGTTAGACACCTCAGCACTATCTGCTACCAAGCCAAAAGACCTGAGTTTGATTTCTGAGATGTTCACACATAGACACACACATTTTTAAATTTAAAATTTAAAAACAGAGTATCTAAAGGATAGTCTTTAGGCAGAAGTAAATTCTAGAACAAGGGAAAAGAATTCTGTACAAATTTGTCCAATAGGGAATCAGGTATTCTATTAGCTTGTCTTCAACAATCAGTAAACACATTCAGGTTAAAAAAAAGAAAAAGTCCCTCTGAAGATACAGCTCAGCAACAGGACACACTCTGGGGACACTAATTGCTTCAACTGAGATACAATTTTGTATCTTCCCTATCTGCTAAGCCTAAACTTAGGAAAGGTTTTGGAGCTGTCCTTTGATGAGTGATCCTCCCCCTCTTTGAGGAACAGCAGAGCAGACGTAGAGACCACAGATGTGGGCTTACGTAGCAGTTTTCTCTGAGATTAAAACCTTCCATTTTCCAAAGGAAGCGCATTTAAAAGACTCAGGATGTTCTTAAAAAGATAAAACATTCTATCCTGCTGGATCAGAAAGTGAACAAGTTAACAGTTTCAGGAAGTCCCTGAAGCTGACCAGCTGTACTAGTCCCTTACTCTTTAAGCACATATGTGAAATAAGGACCAACGGGAGACACTCAGACAAGCTGAGCTGCCTGGAAAGCACTCTGCAACCTGCTGTGCGGTGAGGTCCAGTTTTTCAACTTTTATGAGCTGTCACCCATGCTGGGGTGGGATCTGTTGGTGCAGGTGTCTTTGATAATTTCTGCTCCTGTAAGTAATCCCTCACCCATATTCCTCCAAGTAACCCCAATAAAACTCATTGGCTCACCAAGTTGGACTTGTGTCTATTATTGGTTTCCAACCTGGGCTGAATAGGTGTTTGTATGTCCCCAGGAATAATGTCCCACAAGAAGACCCTCCCCCAGTCTCTTGCTTCCTCTTGTTTTGTTTTGGTTTTTCGAGACAGGGTTTCTCTGTATAGCCCTGGCTGTCCTGGAACTCACTCTGTAGACCATGTTGGCCTCGAACTCAGAAATCCACCTGTCTCTGCCTCCCAAGCACTGGGATTAAAGGCGTGCGCCACCACCGCCTGGCTTGCTTCCTCTTTTTGATCATCTCTTGTTTACACAACTGCTAGAGGAATATTACTAAAATACAAATCTGATTATGACTTTTTCCTCAAAAATGTTTGAAGCACACCAACTGCCAGTGGGCTGTGTTCTGGTACACACTGAGCATGCAAGGCTGCCAGAGTCACCTCTACTTCCTGTTCCTACCTCCTTTGCACTTTGGATTGTCAGTCATACCAGCCCTAATAGTCCCCCAGAGCCTTCAGCTTCATGCGACCTTTCACCCATTCTTTGTGCACTCATTAACATCTCCATCTAAAATCCAGTACGTCAGTGGCTTACTTGGTTATGAGCTATATACCATCCTTGCTACCAGCGGCTGTTCCTGTCTGTATTTATTACCATTCTACTTTTTACTGTTTTCAAACTTTCAAACTTTTTTAAAGGCCATCTCTCTCTACATAGGCCTGATTTTCCTGGAACTTCTTATAAAAATCAGGCAGGCTTTGAAGTCACAGAGACACACCTGCCTCTGCCTCCTGAGAGCTGAGATCACAGATGTGTGCACCACAAACTACTTTAGCATTGCAGTATTATTTATGCTCTAGAAGTTTTTTGAGTAGTCTTGCTTTGAACTCCTGCTTCAGCCTTTCAAGCAATTAAACCTGCAGGCACATGGCATGACCACACCTAGCAGCCCACGACATTCTTGAAGTTGAGAACTATCTTTTTCATCCTTTTAGGCTTAAATATAACTTACTATATGGCCACATATTTTTGGGTGGGTAGGCTTAAGACAGGATCTCACTATGTAGCCCAGCTGTCTTGTAACTCACTATAGACACCAGGCTGGCTTCAAACTCAGAGGTCATAGATTAAAGGTGTGTGCAACCACCTTTGTACCTGGCATGTCCACTTACAGTACAAAAAAGTGGGGTTGGGGTTTACAAAGAAGGAAATAAGTGTGTATGACAGGGGGTGATGGAGAGGGTACCCAGAGGTTGAGAGAACTGGCTGCTCTTCCAAAGGCCTTAAGTTTGACTCCTAGGATCCACCCTCCAGTCCCAGAGTATCTGACTCTCTTCTGTCCAGTGTGGTCACCAGGCATGCACATGGTACATAGACATACATGCAGGTAAAACATTTATATTAAATTTTAAAATGTTTTAAACAAGAGTACATGACAGTGAATATTCTGTAACAGTTAACTCATCCCTATGGGATAGCAGTACTTGTAGAAACAGAAAAACAGGTAGTGCTAATTTATGCTCTAGCACAGTGGTTCTCAACCATTTAGGGGGTCAAAGGGCCCTTTCACAGGGGTGACCTAAGACTATTGGAAAACACAGATATTTACATTATGATTCATACAAGTAGCAAAGTTAGAGTTATGAAGGAATAAAAATAACTTTATGGTTGGGGGTCACCACAAGATGAGGGACTGTATTAAAGGGTCACAGTCTCAGAAAGACAGAGAACCACTGCCAGAGCAGGAAGAGTCTGAAAATGGCGACAGAACCACTGCCAGAGCAGGAGGAGTCTGAAAATGACGACTAGTACATCTTTAGCCTGGCACATGGTGCCCAGAAGACTCTACAATCCCAGTCTGTGGATCTTGATTTTGAGGCCAGCAATCGCTACACATGAGACTGATTTGTTTTTCTTAAAAAAAAAAAAAAAAAAAAGCTTTGTCCAGGAGCCCAGTTCATGGTTAAGCTCAGGTACCTAGTAAGTAAGAAAACAGTCTTATCTGTTTGAGACTTTGCCTCAGAAATAAAATAAAATAAAACAAAATAAAATAAAATAAAATAAAAATGAAACAAAAACCAAAACAACTTCAGGAAACCTAGATTCAGAAGGTGCAGGTAATCCATGTCACTTACCGCTGTCATCCTTCTGTCTCTGGCTCTCAAGTGCTGGGCCACAGGCACAGACCACTGTGTCCAGCTTCACAGGCAGTTTTAGAGACTTCTGAGGTCCAGTTGATTCCAGAACCTTACCATTCTCAGGACACATTAAGTACTTAATAAACACTGGCTAGCACTATAACCAACATAATGTGAATGCAGTCTTTATTAAATTTCAAATTTACTTTATTTCAAATGCAAAGAAGGAAACATGCATTTTTATATCATGTAAATTTGTCAAAGAATCATGAATAGATTTGTGCATCTCAGCACAAGACTGAAATGTGCACTGGCATATATAGAAGACAGGGGCTTGGGAAGGTCACCTTAGTCCTCCAGCCTGCTGGAGGACCACAACATCTATCAGCACAGTGTCCACAACTCTCAGAAAGTGCCCTGTTGTGTCCACAAAGAAAAGGGCCCTGGGTAGAGAGAAGGGAAGTAGAGGTGTCACCGGAAGCACCAATGAGAGGGAAATGAAACAATCTTAGTATCCATGCGTCCATTTCAGGAGTACCACACCCATTCCCTTCCAAAGCCATCACTGTCTTGCACCATCGAGGAAGGAGTGGGAAAACAGTCGGGCTGGCTGGCTCAAATCACATCTTGGGGAAGCTGGCCAGGTTGGTAATGCCACAGGCGTTGTTCTTATTCCGAGCCAAGAGAACATATCCCTTGTTTCCCCAGCTTTCTCCCCAGCTGTAGAACCAATCAAGAAAAATACATAGCATCTTAATTTATATAGTCCTCAAAACACTTACCGTATTTTGCTAAGTACATATATATATCATATATGTGTATATATGTATATATGTGTATGTATGTATATATATGTGTGTGTGTGTGTATATGTGTGTGTGTGTATATTTTATTTATATATATATATATATATATATATATATATATATATATATAATGAGTATGGTGGTTTTTATTTTAAGGAGTTTAAAGTCAAACCAGGCAGTGGTGGCACATGCCTTTAATTGCAGAACTCTGAAGGTAGAGCCAGAGGCAGGTGGATCTCTGTGAGTTTGAGGCCAACTCGGTCTCTACATTGAGTTCCAGAACTACACAGAGAAACTCTGTCTCGAAAAACCAACAAAAAACAAAAATAAAGTTAGGATGTGGAAAGAAGGCATGCTATCCAGGTTGGGTGTAACAGTCAGTGCTCATTGCCGACTTAACAGAATCTAGATCAGTTGGAGATGGGCCTCTGGGAATTGTCTGGATTGTTAACTGAGGTGGGAGAATCTCCCTGGACAGCTCCTGCACTGTATGAGTGGAGAACCTGCCCACCCTGCCATGATGGACAGTACCCTGGAACTGTAGAATAAGCCTTCTCTTTTTTGGTTATTTTGTCAGAATATTCTATCACAGCTACAGAAGAAACTGAGACAGGTCTTAAAGATTCTAAAGATTGCTTCTGACAAAGATGATACAGTAGAGGCAGGCGATCTCTCTGAGTTTGAGGCCAGCTGGGCCGACACAGAGAGTTCCAGGACAGCCACAGCTACACAGGGGACAAGGGTGAGAGGGAGGCCAGGGTTGGTGGCACATGCTTGTAACCCCAGCACTACTCGGGAGGAAGAGGCAGGAGGATCTGTGTGAGTTCTAGCCTAGCTTGGCCTGCACAGCATGTTCAGGCTAGCAGAAGCTATATAATGAGACCCTGTCTCAAAGAGCAGAGGGAGAAAGAAGGATAGAGGAGACGGGGAGAGGTGAAAGAAAAGGAAAGTGTGACGTCAGAGGTGTGTGAGGCTGAACCTGAAGGACGAGCCAACTTTGGGTCCGTGGGAGTGCTGGGATGGTGGAAGGATGTGACAAGCAAGTGCCACGTGATATGACAAAGTGACTCAAAATCAGGGTACGTGACATACTGAAGCAGGAGACAGGTCTGGAGAGGTGGAGCAAGACAAGGTTGAAGAGTTCAGGGCCATATTGAGCTTAAGGCTAGCCTGAGCTACAGGAGAGCCTGTCTAAAAAATTCAAAACTGATCAATCAACCAACCAAACACATCGGGTCAAATGAGTCCACAGGGAATGATCTGGTCTTTGTCAGTCGAGTCTGCCTGGGCTGCGAGAGATCTACACAAGCATCCGCCCATCTCCTTGTGTCCGTCCTAAGCCTCTTGCCCAAGGAGCGGCTATCCGGCATACACTTGAGCTTTATTGTCCGCCCGTCACAGGTTAGTTTCATAATTGTGCGAGGCTCACCGCCACAGCGGTGGTTAAACAGCAAAAGCATTGCCTCACTGTTACCTGTTCTTAATTATCCAGTGCTTGCTTCCCTTCTGGGTACCATAGCCCACCACCAACATTGCGTGGTTCACATTATCACGGTCGCAATTTTCATCATAGTACACACCTACAAAGCAAAATGTGGATGAGGTTCTCTGCAACATAGGCGGGGCCTGCGTGACGCCCTGCACTGAGGCAGCTGCCAGGTTCAGCAGGTAGAGTCTGGCTGTGACAACGAAGCACTCAATTGTCCAGGGCCACACCCACACCCTAGAAGAGGGACTCTACAGGAAAAGGTACTCACCTCTGCTGTAAAACTGGAAGGATGTCAAGCTTGCATCGATGGACACAGAGATGGGCCCTACCCGAGCCACCGCTCTCTTCAGGGCTTTCTCGCTCCCCACAGGAATCTCTTTGTACCCTCTGCATTTAGCTGCCTTTGCTGTAGCATTATACATACAACTTTCATCCTGAGGAACAACAACAAAGGCGGAATCGGAGCAGAGTCAATCAACTGGTAATCAGTTGATAAGAAATCCAACCAATGTTGGAGGCAACCAACTAGTCCTTGGGTCTCACTGTTTTAGAACACTATGAAAAGAAGCTAGGTATGGGATGTACACTTGTAATCCCAGCAAGACATCTCTTTTGTTTGTTGTTAAAAAAAATCAAGTGGTTTCCTCCTTTCTAGCATTCACAAAAACCAACTCCAGAAGAAAAAGATACTTTTTTCTTTTTATGTATGCATGTGTTTGTGTATCTTGTCTATCGGTGTATGGGGGGTTATGTGCACCTATGTATGTATATGCACCTATGTGTGTATACATTCTCTTGAAGGCTAGAAAAAAAGCACTGAATCTCTGGGAGCCAGAGTCACAGGCAGTTATGAACTGCCTCGTGTGGGTACTGGGAATAGACTAAGGTGTCTGGAAGAGAAAGCAAGTATTCTTAATCACTGAGCCATCTCTCCAATTCCTTGTTATTGTCATCATCTTCTTTTCTTTCTTATTGAAATGGTATATCATGTAGTCTAAGCTGGCTCTGAACTCACTACATAGCTAATAGTGATGACTAACCACCCAGCCCTCCTGCCTCTGCCTCCATCTGCTGGGATTACGAGCACGACCCACTTCTCCCATCTTGAGAGACTATTTTCACTAATGCAGGATAGGGAAAGATATTTGAAATAAAAGGTTGTTTTTTTAAAACACAGATTATCTTCTGCCTGTAGTATGTGTAAGCTTCAGGGGAGTGGGAAGGTACCAACTGCTCTGTGGGAGAGTTTGCCAACACCAAACCCAGCTCAAGAGATGGCCTTAACCCTCTGTACACAACTCAGGGGTGCTAGGATGAGGTAAAGAGTCTTAGCTGGGGCTGGAGAGACGCCTCAGTGGTTAGGAGCACTGAATGCTCCTGAATTCAACCCCAACAACCACATGGGGGCTCATGACCATCTGTAATGGGATCTGATGCCCTCTTCTGGTGTGTCTGAACACAGCGAGAATGTGTTCATATGCATAAAATAAATTTATCTTTTTAAAAAAAGAACATTAAAAAAAAGAGTCTTAGCTGGATCAGAGATACAAGCACATAACATGATAAGAAAATAAATTAATAGCTGAGTAATTTAGCCTGTGATCTTCCAAGAGCACACACGCTTTGCAAGCCTCACAGAATGAGAGCTTGTCAAGATGGCCTGCTTTTGGTGGAAACACATCCCCCTACACACCAGACCTCAAACTCCTTAAGGCTGAATCTAAAAGAACACATATCTAAATACCAACAGTACTGCCAGCAGTTAATGGGATGCTTTAAGGTTACAGTGATTTACTGCCTTAATTTCTCAAAATCTGTTCACTGCCACATGGTTCTGGCATTAAACTGCTCAGATCAACCAAACATAGTGGCACATTCCTGCAATCTCAGCATGATACAAGTGGAAAGTGGATTTCAAAGTCTATAAGCCTTGGCACTGCATGGTCTTAAAAAAGAAATAGAGACAGACACAGACACAGACACATACACAGAGAGAGAGAGAGAGAGAGAGAGAGAGAGAGAGAGAGAGAGGGAGAGGGAGAGGGAGAGGGAGAGGGAGAG